CATTAAACCATATGAGCAAAGCTCTAACATCTAAAAAAGTCTTTCAGGAAGGATGCAAATGTAGCATTGGAAAAGTGAATAGTTTGTTTTTCTATAAATGTGATGCAAGACTGTCACAGAGAAGGTGCTTTGGCTCCTGGGATATCATTCATATTATTGGTCTTTAATGTACACCCTGTCAAAAATGTTCTGAAAGTGTCAAAACAACTAGGTCTGTTTATATAAGCAACCACACAAAGCTGCGTATGTAATTTTCATTGAGGGGAAAATTGATAGATTGTATAGTAGAGGTGTCTATAGAGGTGATATACTGTGTAAAGTTTGCTCTTCCCCGTTCTCCTAACAAGTACACAAAAAGCTCTATATAATGGTATTTTCTTCAGGCATGAATAAGCACAAAATCCCTGTAGTAACTGCCACCTGTTCTAATCCTTTGCATACTTTGGAGCTTATCACATACAACCATAAGAAAAATTCTATTGTTTTTTCAAAGTAGGGCACTGAATTGGAATAAACTCCCCAGGGAAGTAGTGGATTTCCCAACATTGGATACTGTAAGTTTCAGCTGGACAGGGTGCTGAGCTATTTGCCAAGAAAGATTGGATCAGATGATCTTTGAGGTCTCTCCCAACCTGGTAGTATGATGTTTTTTCTGGCATTGTTTTTAAAGGGCATAGCATGAACTCTGTGCTTCAGCAGTTGTTCTCAAGATGGCTACTTTCCTAGGCAGGAGGCATGGCTTCGCTTCTGAAGCTGACTTAAATTGAAAGAAGTCTCCAAACGTGGCTTTTTTGAAGGTCGATGCATGGCACAAACACTGGGAGAGAGGTATGTGGGATACTGGAAGGATAGGTCAGTTTTTCCTTTCTCATGGTAGCTAGCCACTAGATGCACTTAACTATAATACCAAACTGCACCCAAATTTTGATGCTAACAGGTTCAGTTTTTAACTTTATGTGAGTTGACTTGTTTGGCAAACAGCTATATGTGGTGTTTCTCTAAAGCTCAGTAGACTTCTGTAAGACGAGTTAATTTCTTAGGTAGGTAGGTTAGATGTTATGTTGTTATAATATTTGACATTTTTGACCTAACATAGTAGGAACATTGTGATCTCTGTAGCATTCACAGTAAGGCGTTTCAATCATTCTTGCAAGTCTTTGTGATTTTGTAATTTCTTTAGATATGCCAGGCTAAATCCTGACTCAGGAATTCACTGATCTCACTTTTTTGTAGTATTCTTCTCTTATTCCAAACTACCACATTTCTGTTGGCCTGATATAAGTTCTTTGGTAACCTTGTGTGTTTCCTTATTTTTCAACAGTTGGTTTGCTTGGTGGTATTCTTGGGATCTTACTCTGAATTGCAGTGCTATAGGGTGAAGAACACTTTTTGCTCCTTAAAATATACAATAGTAGTTGGTGCTCAGTGTAGGTTTATCAAATACACGTTGTGCTTCCCTGTTAGAGGTGTACTGTAGTTTAACAAATACTGCTGTTCACTGGAGGATAAAGAGAAGGGCGATTTGTGTTTTGGCATGTTTTTTCTGTTGTTGTTTTTTTTGGTAGTTTGTTTTAAAATATAATTACAGTTTCCCCATGCAAGGTTTCTCCAAGGAAACAGTCACCATCATATAGAGTCAGTGTAATCTCTTAAATTGATACAGTGCTAGAGGAGAGGTTCTTGCTTCCAGATTTTAGCAGGTTCTTCCAAGCTGAAGTAATGATTTGAGGGAGAGGGGAATTTTTAGTCATGAGTTACAGGTCATGTTTCCCTCCCATTTAAGGACAGTTATTTACTGTTTTCTATACTTAAAATTAGTTGAACCCCCACACCTCTTTTGTGTTGCTATGTAAATTATTTTTAAGAAATTCAGATTAGTTTTAGAAAACCTGTAGATATGGTTTGTAAGCAAACTGACAAGCAAATGAAAAATTTGGAATTGTTACAGCCTGATTCTCCTACCAGGTCTGTGCACATCTCTTGTGCTTAGTCCTTTTGTGGGGAAAACAGAAATAGCAGTTCCCTTGTCTGATTTGCTGGTATATATGTGAGATTCTTGCTTTGTGGCTAAAATAACTTGCATTCATATCCAGGAAAAAACAATGTCTGACTTAATGCAGCTCTGGAACGGCCCACCTGCCAAACTTCCAGGTGCTATATCTGGTTTTGACACTGGGGGTAGCAGATGAGGTACAGCTGAACTTCTAGGTAGCAAGCGTAATAACACAGAGCTAGTTGGGACTCAATGATATTTCTACAGAGTAGTGTATATCAGATGTAATGTCTGGATGTAAAGGTTGTTTTTAGCATGCTGTGGAACTCAGGAAGTTTCTGTAAGTCCTGAATCGACTCTTACAGACCTGATATCCTATCTTGAAGGAGCATGCCTGATAATTACAAGAAACAACTGATAAGTTAAATACATACATATATTTGTCTTTCAGGTCTCCTGCACATATTTTAAAATCTGTATGTAATTGGCTACAGTGATTTGAATTTTTTTTCTTTCAAACCCCTCGTAAATATTGTTAGGGGAAGAAGATAATTTTTCATTAATTCATTTGGAAATGTATTAAGATTTCTGCAAGGAGTTGCATTTTTGTAGAAAACAGTCGGTTTTAGAAAATTGATAGAGGACATTCTTTTGTGTATACCATCTTGTGAAAAAAGCTTTCACTTGCAGTGTTGCCTGAAAAGAATGATACATTTTATTAGTTTAGCTCTAATTAGTGCAGGGGAGTAAAAGAAAAAAAAACAACAAACCAAACCCCCAAAAAACCCCAAACCCAAACCTTTTAGTAATTCAGTAATTAGGAAAACTAATTGAATAAGCAGCATGGAATGGAAAACAGTCATTGTTAGCATACTTCAGTTTCCTATTAGAGGTCTCCAGATACTGAAATCCTCTAATTTATCTGGACTGGGCTCATTTGTGTCTTGTTTACCTTATTCTCAGCATGAAAGGCACCCACAGTAAAAGGTGAACCTTAGTGTAAAATATGATTTTTGCAACTACATTGAAAGTTTGGCTCTGTAAGAAATGCATATTAAGAACAATGATAGTAAGGAAAAATTTTTATATATTCCGTTTAAGAAGTATATGTTCTCCAAAGTCAGAGTATTGATTATGCTTGTATTTTCTTTTTTCTTGCATCTTTCTTGCACTGTTCTTCATAAGAAGTAGTGCTTCAGTTTTCCTTTCTAGTGTACTTGTAGTACTGTACACTACTAATCTAGTACATAGAGGTTTCCATGTAGGTGACAAAGCCACTTTTTGGATGAAGGCAGTCCCTCCCTTCTTTCCCCTACTAAAATGCCAAGCTTTTTTTTTTTTTTTTAATAGCAAATTGCTTTGTTACAGAAGGAACCACGTAGATTTGGGTGGGTTTAATGAAATTCCAGTTTGTAAGGTCAAAAAGATTTATATATTGCTGTTTGCTTTATTGTATCTCTCTTTTTTAATCTTCAGAGTTTCTTTTAACCTTTCAGAAAACGGGGCAGTACTTAAAGGCTTGACAAATGCATCCCAGGTTGAAAAACTGCTGCATTCCTCCTCTTCTTCCTCCATTAGAAAATTGATTCTTCAAAGAGGTAAAGTTGAATGTTGCACTTTCTGTAGAAATTGTTTGGTTTTGTTTTTTTTCAGGCAAAGTAAACTACAGCTCAACTTCTGTGGCATGATGTCCTGTGGTGTTTTAGATTAATTTAAAACCGTGTCTAATTCTAATGACTGATATCTGTTTCCTTACTTATTAAAAGGGATGTCTTTGAAAACCTTTGCTTGCAGAGCTATACTTGTGTTATTTTATAGAATTGTCAACACTTTTGCTGAATAAGTCACCCAAATGTTATTTAAATTAGGTTAATGTTATTTTTTAATCTGATATCTTTTAGAATATTTTAATATACTTTAGAAATCTGAGGCAGTTCAACTTGCTTAAAAAAAAAAAAAAAAGAGTGACCAAAGTATCTCTTAAAATACAGTGTCTCTTCACAGATTTTCTGTTTTTTGTTTCTGTTCAGGCAGCTGTTAATCTACAGGTCCTGTCAAAATAAATTTTTTCTGAAACCTTAACTAAGAATCGCTGTCTTTGTATGTCTAGTATGGCTTCAAACAGGTCTTATATTTTACTGTCTCCTCCATTTATCCCTTTTCAGGTCACTATTCTTAGGTTTAGTTACTAGTATTAGGGTACAGCTTCATTTCACTTAATCAGATGACTGCCAAGTATTGCCAACCTATAGTGAGATCATGAAGAAAGATAAAATTACCCTAGTTGCTTGGATCTATTTAAACATAAAGCAAAGTTGTCTAATGGTGTGTTACGTTTTAAGCTAGTGCCTTGAGAATTAAATTTATAAGAATTTAAAAAATACTAGAATATGGATGTTGTATTTAAAATGGAAGATAAAAGCACTAGTTGTCCTTTCAAGGTTTATTTTTTTCTGAGAATTCCAGCATACTTTCAGTAGAGCTAAATCTTGTTGTTGGAATGAGAAGCCTTAAAATTCTATAAGAAGAAAGTTTAAGGAGTAAAGTTCTCCTATTAGAATTTCTAATAACTGGTTTTATGAAACTGCTTTACTTTGAGCTGTATCTAGAACTGTCATTACAGTGTCTCACGTAAGTTGTTCCATGATGCTCTTTGTTCCTGTTGTCTTTTCTTTGTTCTGTATTTGGTAAGGGAGCAAGAATGGGGTGATGTGTTTGTCTTAAATAATGTACATTTTGGCCCGAAGCACTGAATCCTTATTTTTCCTCCCCCCCTACTGTTGTGTAGTACTTCTGACTACAAATCTGGAGACAATGTTTTAATCATTGTTAGAAAATGGGACCAGTTGTCCAAAATGCAATTTTCCCTACTGTTTGGTATTATATAATTCTACTGAAAATATGTTAACAGCTTTTCATTGGGGTAGGATTTTACAAAACTAAGTTTTGCTGACAAAACTGTTAATTTCTTTTTTCCTTTCTCATCTAAAGGTAAGAGAGAAGCAAAAGAAGTGAGAAAATGCTGGGATCAGAACGAGGTGTTGTGGAAGAATGGCTGTCAGAATTCAAGGTGAGCTGAGAAGATGAATGATAAAAATACCACTGGGTTTATGACACAGAACAGTGATATTTTTTTTAGCATCCAATAGTTAACATTTTAAATATATATTACTTGATCTCTCAAACTCTTGTAATGCATAAAACATGCAAAGGTCTGTGTAAATAAGTCAGCTGGTACCTAATATACAATGCAAAGTCGTAATAGTAGTTTATTGTTACTGTTTATTGCTATAGAGCAGAACACTGCTATAGAAATGTGGGTTCTTTAAGGTATATATTTCTGTGTAGATCAAGCTGTTAGAGTTTGACTGACAGTGGGATAACACTGCCCAAATTTCTAATGGAATAGCTTTTTTTAGTTAGTAGAAAAGTTTGAAGTCTAAAAAAATATTGAAGAAGAGATTTGGCTGTTGGTTTTTTTTTCCTATGGCCTGCATAAACCTAATTAGTTTGTTATGAAGAATTGTAAGTATTTTAAAGCTATTTTGTGTGTTGATAATTATGCTGATTGAAATATAGGATAATGCATAAACAAGAAAAATGGATTTAATGACTGATAAGAAATTAGTTTGTTATTTAAATTAAGAACTTGTGATTCCTCTCATCAGTGATGAGACACTAAGTTATTACATGCTGATGCTGGAAATTTGTTGAGGAGTCAAGGATGCAAAATCTGCAGACGTTGCTTAGTGGGACTCCGGGCTGTCCATGTACTTTCTAGATTATCCATACCTCTTAAATAATTTGAGTTGACTTGATAAAGACTTTGAAAGGTGCCTGTTAAATACAGAATATTCAAGAGAGTCCTCTTATCAAGCTGGAGCAAATGATATTATGAAAGATAAATCTGAAGCTGCTTTTGGATTTAACATTGAACATTGGCGTGTGCCCCCAAATGCTATTCATATGGAGAAAATCTTGTACTGAATGAACTAGATAACCAGTCTGAAAATTTACTGAACTTCAGGAATTTTTTACTGATGTTGGGATGACGCTGAATCCTTTTGTGGCAGTCTTTAATACTTGAAAACATTGATTTATAAGGGTAACACCTTTTTTTTTTTTTTTCCTTCTTTAGGCATTACCTGAAACACAAATTTCCAGCTATGCAGCTACCTTGCACCGGAAAAAAACACTGGTACCAGCTCTTTATAAGGTCATTCAAGACCCAAATAATGAGGTAGGACACTTGAAAAAGGATTTTTGTTCACATTCCTATATCTTCCAGCTCTGCAGTGGAAACTAAAGTAATGGAGAAGTAGAGATGGAGCAGAAAATTCTTCAGTTCTTCTAATGTAGTCTGACATGAGTTTTACTGTATTGTTTTTTGATGTTTACTTTAATGCCTTTCAGGTAAGACACAGCCCCATCTGCTCCTAAAAATAGTTTTGCTGTCTGCTAGATTTTACTTGCTAGAGCAGACTGTTTACTTGATTTGGCATGAGGGTTTTTTGTGTGTGTTCCACAACCTCCTACGTCTCCTGACCTCTCCCCCCCAGTTTCCCAGTAAGACCACTGTGCTTCTTACCTGGTGACTTATTACCTGATGGAAGATGGAATGAATTTATTAACTCCTATTAAAATAACTAGATCTTCTTTTGCTTACAGTAGTATGTCTGTGTAATTTGGTTTACACTGCTGTAAATGAGCAGAAGCAGGATTGTAAAATATAAATATACACAATGAAAACTTAGCTTACCCTCGTACATAATTAATTGTAATTGCAAATGTAGTTAAACTGAGCTTTCTATTCCATTGGCTTCTGCCATGAGCATTTCTGTGAAGGTGTGAGGTATACAACTTCTGAGCAAATTGTGCAAGCACACTGTTCTCTGCTGTGTAAACTCCTTTAGATGCAATGTGTCAAAATACTTGATTTATCATCTTTGATCTCTTGTATATTTATAAATTAAATGTCAAGTGTATACAGCAAGGAAGTTCTTTATTTTCCTAAGCACAGCTCTTGTGCTTTTGGAAGATGAATGCTTGTTGGAGCTTAAAGGATATTTCATAATGCTCAGGTGATAAAAAACCCCAAAACATCATAGCTGTCAACTTCATTTAATTGTTACAAATAACTTGCATAGTGACCTTTTTCTTTGTACTGAAGTTAGTATTATTCTCTTCTAACCTGAAGCCACCATTGCTGATGCTTTTAGCGCATTTTTGTATTTGTGTGTGCATGTATACTTCTGAAAATGTAAAAGCTTTCCTTGAGAATAAGCATATAATGTATGATTTGTTTGGTTGGTTTTTTTTTAACATGAAGAACTAGATTTGCAAAGAGTATCTTAAGGGTGTGGCAGTAATCTTACATTATTGTACACTGATGCTTGTCAAATACTTCTCTTCGGAACTGTATTACCATTTGGACCCGATTCTGATAATCAGGTATAAGATAAGCAATCCCACACTCAAAGATTTCCAGCTTCAGGTTCTTCTTGTTAAGGCAGTATGTATTTCCTGGTTGCCCTCCTTCCAAACTTATTTGCGTTGAGGAGTATAACCATAATAAATTATGTAGCTATATTTGGCTCTAAGTGAGGGGTTTTAAAATATGCCTTATAGGGCATTATGTGCTAGAAGGATAATTGACTGCTTATGAAGATAAAGCTGATGTGGTAGACTATTTTTAAAATGTACTTGCTGAATTTTTAAATTTGATGGACAAATAATTTTTAGTACAACTTTTTTAGTACAACTGAATAATAAAGTTGACCTATGTTTAAATCTTCTTGAAAGGGGAAAACTGTTTAGACCAAACAGTAATTTTTCTAGATTCACTTAATTCTACCTTGGTAATACCAGGCATTGTGTTTAGGAAGCAACACAAACAAACAAGATGCTTCTCTTTTTTTGACAGCTGACTATCAATTTGAGATCTAGCAAATTATTGCAAGCATACTGTCAAGTTAAATACAATTGTTACTGTTTACCTTTTAGAAAATTCCCTGACTTTTGTAATATGGAGAAGATACTGACTGGAACAGAAAGTTACATAAAGAGTGGAGTGATCTTTCTCATAAGCAGCTTATTTAGCTGAATAATTTGTTGATTTTTGCATCATTTGAATTTTAAACTGAAGTGCTTCTGAAGTCCTGTTTTTTAGATAGTTTTACAATTTTTGAAGTTGGTTGATGATTGTAGATGTAAATGCATGATGGATTTTAAGTTAATGCAGTACTAAAATTTAAACATTGAATATTCACGTGGAGCTGTTTAGATTATCTTGGAAAGCTCAGCCTTGAAATGCAGTGCCAAGCATTTCCCACACCCAGTACTTGTCAAATAGTAACTCATTTCACCCATTATATTATAAGTAAGCCTAAAATGAGCGCATTCCACCACAACTGAATTTTTCAAAAAGGCAAGGATTTCCCATCTTTGTAATGTGTTTTATATTTAGTACATTGCGTTTAACTTCCGGATATGGCTCTTAAGATTTGGCAAACTTGTAAAATAAGCCAACATAAAGCTAGTCTTCACCTTGCTTAAAATATGACTAGTCTGCATTTCTGTGAGATTTTAAAATGTGGTCTGCAAATTATAGCGTTGTCACTTACTGTATATTTTAGCCAGTACAAGTTTTGTTCATAATTGTTGTGCCAATTGCTGTTCACAGTAATAGGCAAACTCTTTTAATGTAAGTTTTTTGTTTATCAGATAAGAGATACGGTTCCAAGAGACTTTCGACTTTGGATTTTTTGTCTGACTGCTGTGCTACTCAGTTTCCTTTGACTTTGGACTGAAATACCTTTGGAGTTTAAAAAAAGTGTGTGCCAGTTCCTGTATACACCCACTACTGTGACAAAAGCTCCATTTCCTCTGTTTATCCAATGTCTTCACAATATTTATATTCAGAGAACTAACTGGAAAAGGCTAGTTCTGTGAAAAGCCAGATAACTAGGATGCCAGGAAAATATTTGTTCTTTCTTACAGTGTTATGTTTTGTGTTTCTAGGTGGGAGATGATCATACCAAACTGATAGAAAAAACCTGGTTCATGCCTTTGAAAATACTTGTTTTGTAACATCTTTGTGATGGCAGTTTTTTCAGTTCTGAAGACACCAACAGCACTGTAGTGGTTCCTCCAAACAAGTTCCAGGTTGTCACCTAAGTAATTTGCACAACTAAGATGACAACTACTAAAAATGAGGAGTATTTACATGCTTGCAGCATCAGTGACTGGATGTTGATTGTATCTTTCTAGGGAGCATGATTTCACTTAAAAGGCTAATTTGAAAAAAAAATATTAAGTTGAAAGACAGTAGAATAAACTCAGTAGCCTCTCTGGTTGAGGCTCAGCTGACTTGAGCTAAGGTAAATTGTTATTTTGTGCTGTTTTTAATTGTACTTGGATAAGACTGGCTAATTTAAAATAGGAAACAGCTTTGGTTGGCTGTCATCTCTAATCTAATAAAAATACTATCTATAGCAATGCAGTTGTATATTAATATTTGCTTAGCTTTTTGTGCACCTCATCTCCTTGCAGATATGCTTGTATTTATTGTTGTCAAAGATTTCTTCTTCTTCTTAACACTCTAGATTCTTGCTCATACTGTCTTTTAAAGAAAACCTACACATTTATTCAGTCATCTCTGAATTATTTACTAACCACATTTTTATTTGAACATCTGAAATGTACTAAGCCTGTCATAAAACAAGGCTACAGTTCTATCTCTGAGGATTTGAACATTCTGCAACAGATGGTTTTAATAATTAGTGTCAATTTTAGGTAGGAATTTATACGAAGTAAATATGAATTAAGAAAGAATATACTTACACATCTTTTGAAGAGTAAGTTCTAAATATGTTTGAAATACTGGAATAAATATACTTGTAAAAGCTGTGCTTTAAGTGACTTTTCTCATTCTGTATCAATGTCAGTGTCAGCTTTCTTCCCTCTCTTGTGGAGTCTTTTTGCTTCTGTTGTGAAAACAGGCTTTTAGCTTAGACTTAACTAGGCTGTCAGTCAGAAGCCTTGTGTACACAAGGTACTCATAGCAGAGTCTTGTATAAGAAAAGATCTGTCTGATAGCAAAGTTTTATTTTACACAGATGTTATATTACGGATTTTGTATGCAGTGGTTTAAAAATGGTATCCTTCATTAACCAGAATACTGCTTGTTAGAAATGAAACAAATGTATTCGCTCTTTCTTGAGTGATACTCTCTTAAGGCAGCTATCTTGATAGAAAATTCTGTCAAATTTATGTTTTGTGTTTTGTGTTTGTTATCTATTACAGTAAAATATCTAAGTCTCTATTTTCTGCCTCTCTAACTCTTCTCTATGAGTATAGATGCTTTAGGTTACATGAATGCCTCTTGTCTTTTTAGATGTTGAAACTTGTGAGTATAGTATTTTTCCTTTAGGTCAGATCATCCCATTTCCTAGAATCCATTTCTATAAACTGATCACAGACCTTATCAGAATTCCTCTCAGAATACTTTTTTGTTGTTGTTGGTTTTGACTTTGATATTAAAAAGTTGATTAGTCATGGGAAAGGGGGACACAGCTCAACATGTTTCTTTTTCTTTTTTTCCTTCCCCTCCCTCCCAGTGTTCATTAACAGTTCCTGAATGCATTCTAACTATTAGTTAGGCATTGTAGACTCTTAAAATGGCAGGGTTTTTCTTGTGCTTATATCCCACTGACTTGATAAGAACCCTTTCTGATTCTTGTACTGAACCTCAAAGGGCAGCTCAAGATGGGAAAATCGGTTTGCATTGTAATGAACAAATACACACTGTTGAGTTGGAGACTAAAAAGCTGTAGGTAAGAAATTAACTCATATATCTGTCAATAGACTTGTCATGAGCAGCTGATTTTTAACCTTTGTACTTTTATAAGTCTTATAACTGCACCATTGGAGTTTATGGTACATGTAGTTCAAGCCATGTGTCTGTCACATGCCTTAAATTAGTCCCTTCGTACAAAATAAATCTCATACTGACAGCCCTCAAGAATAATGTTATTAAAGCACCAATATGGTAGTGGCTGTAGTAAGGCTACATTTCCCAATACTGTATAGCAGTGCCCCTCAGGTTTGTCCTTGTAAATCTTGTTAAAAGGAATGCAGATATCATTTTGGTTCATTCACTTTTACTTGCCATCAAGGAATGTAATTTGTACTGGCTGCAGTGGTTCTTTAGTACAACCCCTGTCTTTGCTATTTCATTCTCTCTTATTAGAGGAACCTAACAGTAATTCATTAGCCTTTTTGTTTTTCTGCAGCTCCTGGAGCCTGTTTGCCACCAGCTCTTTGAACTTTATCGTAGTTCTGAAGTTCGGCTCAAGAGATTCACGCTACAGTTTTTGCCGGAGTTGATCTGGGTATATCTACGTCTTACTGCCAGCAGAGACAGGCAGAGTAATGGTTGCATTGAAGCATTGCTGCTTGGCATTTACAACTTGGTGAGTGAGATGAGTGAGAACGACTGAGGAAATCTTTCATCAGAGGTTTTGTCAGTGACCACTAGGAATAAAATAAATTATTGGAAGAACATAGTTAAAATTATAATAGGCTTACATGAAAGCATATTTAATCTGCAGAAAATCATCATGTAATAAAGGTTTAGTAAGAACGTATTTACAGAGACAAACATTTTTACTAAAACAGATCATCCCATGAGCTTCCTTGAGCTGTGCAAATTAAGTAGCCTTCGTTCATGTTGAAGAATAAAGCTTTCTATGAAGATGATTGTTGGGGCAGTATGCTTGGTCAGTCTTCAAGTGGCACTTCCCTCACTCCTTTGCTTAGTCTGAGGTCTTTTTAACAGTGATTTGAAGCTGAAACTACTCTGCATGCTAGCACTTATATACATACCTGTGTATATTTTAGGCAGATGGTTGTCTTGAATATGTGATTTTAAGAACATGTAAAAATAACTGTAGATTATTCAATTTGGTTGTTGGTTGTAAAAGAAGTTTTTTTTATATCCTTACGTTAGCCTGGAAATGTTAAGAGGCTGTTTGATAAATTTAGCAATACTGCCAAGATAGGCATTCTTTAATGGGAATGTCTGTGTTAGGATTTTAAAACATACTATACTTAAAACATCCCCCTTCTCTCTACTATCATAGTAAACCCCTCCTTTAAATTGTGTATTATGTTTCTATACATGATGAGACACAGAAAAATAAAACTATGAGTATTAAAAAAATAATATTCTTACTATGTGTCTGTAGATTAAATCTAAAAACTCAAAGATGCAGTTATTTTAGATTTATTCTGCTAGAAAAAAGCATTGGAAACTGCTTGCTGATTTTAGTATTGTTTGCTGGGTTGAAGTAGCATGTTTATTTTTATCAGTTATTTTCTCACAAAAGTCCTTTTGAGTTCCTTTGAATGTCATATTGGTGATGCATATTTTTTAAGGAGAGTAATTTCCTTGTTCTCTCCAGACTTAGGAAGAAAGAGACCTCAAAATGGACAGTGACTCCCACTATTTTTTTCTTTAATTACTTTGTTGATATTTTTCTGCACATATATTGAGACTGAAGGAATTACATTATATTCTCAATATGTAGAAAGTGAAAGACAAGGATAAATCTCTTGCATTCTGCTAAAAACACATTGTCCTCACAATGTGATTCTTAAAGGCTACTAAAAGTACTGGACTACCTTGGACTAAGTTTTCACATAAACGGGAATGGCTAGAGCTCATTGTTGGGGAATTTGCTGTACAGAGTGAAAAGCCAGGATTTTAGTCTCCTTTTTGGTGTAGTCTTATGTAATTGCTGTTAATATATTGGCTTCTAAAACTCATGGGTTTGCTTATGTAGTAGCCTAGCAACTATAAAATCTGACCAGTCTGAAAGCCTTTTAATATTCTGTGCATTTCTTCCTGATAAAACGTCTGGAGTATCTTTGCTAGTCCCCTTGATTTCACCTTTTCTCTGTGATGCATTTATTATGAAGTACTGTCTTTTTGCAAATGACACCAAGCTAGGCAGTAGTGTTGATCTGTATGAGGATAGGGAGGCTCTACAGAGAGACTTGGATAGATTGGATCATTGGGCAAATGTTAATGGTCTGGGCTTCAACAAGGCCAAGTGCTGCGTCCTGCACTTGGGCCACAACAACCCCATGCAATGCTACAGGCTTGGGGAAGTGTGGCTGGAAAGTGTCTGGCAGAAAAGGACCTGGGGGTTCTAATTGACAAGTGGCTGAATATGAGCCAGCAGTGTGCCTGGGTGGCCAAGAAAACCAATGGCATCCTGGCTTGTATTAGAAATAGCAGCAGAAGTGACCAGCAGAAGTAGAGAGGTGATTGTCCCCCTGTACTCAGCACTGGTGAGGCCATACCTGGAGTACTGCATCCAGTTTTGGGCCCCTCAATGCAAGAGAGATATCGAGGTGCTGGAGTGAGTACAGAGGAGGGCAACAAAGCTGGTGAAGGGCCAAGAGAATAAATCTTATGAAAAACGCTTGAAGGAGCTGGGAATGTTTAGTTTGAGAAAGAGGAGGCTGAGGGGAGACCTCATCAGTCTCTACAACTACCTGAAAGGTCATTGTAGAGAGATTGGTGCTGGTCTCTTTTCACAGAGACCAATTAGCGACGGAACAAGAGGGAATGGCTTCAAGCTGCAACAGGGGAGGTTTAGACTGGACATTAGGAAATATTTTTTTTCACAGAAAGAGTGGTTAGACACTGGAATAGGAGGGGGTTGAGTCACCATCCCTGGATGTGTTTAAGGGTCATTTGGATGTGGTGTTGGTGGATATGGTTTATGGGAGAACTTTGTAGAGTAGGGATGATGGTTGGACTGGGTGATCCCAAGGGTCTTTTCCAGCCTGAATAGTTCTATGATTCTATACTCTTAAGTCAGCAAGTGACTCATCCACCCTTGTGTGGCTGAATCTTTTGGGCTTAAAGTTTCGCCTTGCTCCATTGTGCAATTCTATTATAAATAAACATCATAATGTAAAGGTGAGCTACAAAGGCCTTGTGTTCTTTTTGATTTTGAAGTCACACTGATCAAGGAGCCAGTGCTCTTTTTTTGTAAGAGTTGCGGACTGATTCTGCAGAAGAGTTTGTGCTAGAGGTCTTTCCTGCTTTTTAAATATGTATATATAAATTTGCTAACGTTCTGGAAATGCATAGAGACTTTGAGGTGCTAATAGTCTTTATGAGATCAGGATATCTAACTTTTTGTTTGTTAAATGCCTTTTAAGAGTTGAAAATTATTCCAAGTCCTATCTGCTGTCTCCTACTTTGGTTTTGGTTTTGTTTTTTAATGCAGGAAATTGCTGACAAAGATGGCAACAACAAAGTTCTGTCTTTCACCATCCCTTCATTATCTAAACCCTCAATATATCATGAGGTAAGAGAGCTGCTGTCGTAAATTAGAATTGGATCTATTAGAGAAATGAAAACTGGATTCATTTGATACAACAGGCCATTTTAGATGCATCTTGTTGCAATAAGTTTTCAATGTCAGTAGCTTGCAACTAGTGTAATCAAATTCAATGGCATTAGTAGAAGGAGTGCGAATGTTGAAAAATCTTTGCTGACAGTGCCCATTTTGAACAGAGCTTAGTTCTGTTCAAGCTGCAACTGTGTTTTCTTGCCTCTTACATGTTAGTATAAAAGTAGTCTTCCTTCTTCTAACTCCTCCTTAAAACAATTTGAACTTGGAATCATGTTTTTTCTTATCTACTGCATGAAAGCAAGCTGCATGAAAGGTCTATGCGATTAGGACAAACTTAATATAAATGGATATGTAAGAATCAAAGTTGAAAATTGCTGTCACCTGCTCTATTGCTCATAAGTGTGAAAACTTTATTATAATGAAGTGGGGTAGAGTTTTTAGAGTTACTGTATTCTGGAATAGTCTTTGTTTTTACAGATAATCAGATAAGTGTGTCTTTTGGCTTGGGTGGTTAGGAGTTCTAATGCTTTTTAGAACCTTTTACTTACGACTTAATACTCCTGCCTCCTTCCTTCCTTCTCCCACCGCCTATTTCTAGCCCTCTACTATTGGATCCATGGCTTTAACAGAAGGAGCTCTATGTCAGCATGATCTCATAAGGGTAGTTTACAGTGATCTTCATCCTCAAAGAGAAACCTTCACAGCACAGAACAGGTAGGCGGATGTATTCTAACATTAGAGGTGCTTCACTAGGTAGACAACAAGTCCTTAAACATTAAGACCAAATATGTTATGTGTTCATCCCTTTGTCAGTGTTAAGTGCTTGGAAATAAATCTAGAGAACAGTCTTGGTGATCTTGAGGTATAGTGGTGTTTTTGTTTGTTCCAAATTCAAATGTTCTTCTATTAGTTAATTTAAAAGAGAGTAACTTTTCTGTCATTTCTATGCCTGTCAGGAAAACCTTTGTGCTATGCCTGTCAACTCAAATTTTCCTGGAAGTGTAATAAAACTCAGCTTTGACTCTGAGGCTGTGATGGCTTTTTCCATGGGAAAATGGGAATGAAGCTGAGTGGATAGACAGAACTAGGCATGAGAGAAATCGCCCTGCTGTTCTACTGACTTGCCAGCTTTCCCTGTGTCTAAAGCCATCTTTGGGAAAACTGATAAAATAATTTGAATGCATAGCTGACCTGTTGAGTTCTATAACTTTATACAAGTACTGTGCCATATATGATTTCCTCCCCAGTTCCTGTATATGCTAATGGCTTTCAGTAATGATAATTTTAGGTATTTAATACTGAAATGTTAATAGCCTGTTTCAAGTCAGTGAATTATAACAAAAGAGGATTTCAGGATTTGTGTGTTCTGACACTGTTTCATGTGGGGTAGTTTTTCAGACGAGTTGTAGATTTTTTGTGTTAAACTCTGATAAAATATTCATATCTCAGAATTAAATCTTGCCAGGAATGCAAAGAAGACTAAGAAAAGCTTATATAGGTGTATCAGGGAAAAAAGGACAACCAGGAAAAATGTTGCTGAACGAAATGGGAGACCTCGCTACACAGGATATTGAGAAGGCTGAGGTTCTTAATGACTCCTTTGCATCAGTCTTCTCTGGCAAGTGCTCTAACCTAATCACAAAGGCCACAGCAGGTGAAAGCAAGGATTGGAAGAATGAAGTACCCCTTGCTGTAGGAGAAGAATAGGTTCATAACCACCTGAAGAACCTGAAGGTATACAAGTTTATGGGACCTGATGAGATCCATCCACAGGTTCTTAGGGAGCTGGCGGATGCTGTTCCTTCAGGAAAATCTGCTAAGGCACATGGAAAATAAGGACATGATTGGTGACAGCCAACATGGCTTCACTAAGGGTAAATTGTGCCTGACCAATTTGGTGGCCTTTTACAACAAGGCTCGAGAAATGATGGATAGTGGCAGATGTCATCTGCTTGGATTTGTGCAAAGCATTGTCCGACATGACATCCTGGTCTGCAAACTGACAAGACATGGATATGACAGATGAACCACTTATTGGATAAGTAATTGGCTGGCTGGCCACACCTAGAGAGTTGTGGTCAATGACTCAGTGTCCAAGTGGAGGCAAGTGACAAGTGGTGTTCCTCAAGGGTCAGTACTGGGACCATTGCTGTTTAACATATTTGTTTGTGACGTGGACAGTGGGATTGAGTGTGTATCTTCAGCAAGTTTGCTGACAATACCAAGCTGTGCAGTGTGGTTGACACCCTAGAGGGAAGGGATGTCATCCAGAGAGACCCTGGTGGGCTAATGCCAACCTCATGAAGTTCAACAAGGCCAAGTGCAAGGTCCTGCACCTGGGTCAGCACAACCCCAGGCACAAATACAGGTTGGGGGGAAAATGGCTAGAGAGCAGTTCCAGGGAAAAGGGCTTGGGGTTGGAAAAGGTGAGGAGCTTGACATGAACCACGAGTGTGTGCTTGCATCCCAGAGAGCCAATTGTGTCCTGGGCTGAAGTGTGGGCTAGCAGGGTGAGGGAGGTGATTCTGCCCCTCTATTCTGCTCTGGTGAAACCTCACCTGGAATACTGTGTACAGCTCTGGAGTCCTCAGCACAGGAAAGGGCTGGAGCTGTTGGAAAGGGTCTGGAGAAGGGCTGTGAAGATGATCAAAGGTCTGGAGCACCTCTACTATGAATACAGGCTGAGAGAGTTGAGGCTGTTCAGACTAGAGAAGAGAAGGCTCTGGGGAGACCTTATAGCAGCCTTCCAGTTCCTGAAGGGGCCTACAGGAAAGCTGGGGAAGGGCGTTTCACCAGAGTCTGGTGACAGGACAAGAGGTAATGGTTTTAAACTGAAAGAGGGGAGATTTAGGTTAGACATAAGGAAGAAATTCTTCACAGTAAGGGTAGTAAGGTGCTGGAATAGGTTGCCTAGGGAGGTTGTGGGTGCCCCCTCCCTGGAAGTGTTCAAGACCATGTTAGATGAGGCTTTCTGCAACCTGGTCAAGTGTGAATTGTTCCTGCTCATAGCAGGGAGGTTGGATCCTGATGATCTTTAAGGTCCCTTCCAACCTTAACCATTCTATGATTCTATGAATTTAAAACATGCAAGATTTTGCTTTTGTCTCTTTTCAGGTTTGAGGTGTTGAGCTTTCTTATGCTGTGCTACAATTCTGCTATTGTCTATATGCCTGCCTCTTCTTACCAGTCACTTTGTAGGATGGGTTCCAGGTGAGACACTTGATTTTGAAATAGTTTTGCAGGGTGCATCTAGTCTTCTATTACTCCATTAATCTACTTGTTTAATAACTTTCAGTCAGCTGTGCAACTGAATTGGAAACTTGAAGCTGTGCTTGAGTGCAGATTGAACACACAGATGAGCTTTGTGCTGCAAAAGCTTTCATTCTAGTTTTACAACTTTCTGTTACTTGGAAAGAAAGATTCAAAAAGCAATTTTGGGCAGAAATTATTTGAAGCTACCCAAACTAATTTGCATGTTTTGGATTTCTGTACCTTTCAAACATTTTTTAGTATAGTCAGTTTAAAAATCCTGTGAGGAATACCACCAGTTTCCTCTAATTCCAAATATTAATTTCTTGCTTCTGAGGATGTTTTATATGAAGTGCTTGCAAAATCTTCTGGGTTTCAGTGGCTTGTTTGCATTTTTCTATGGTTTGGGTTGGGTTTTTTTCTTCTTTTTTTCCCCTGATAATAACATCCCACTTTCTGGAGAATTCAGTACTGTGATTTCTCAAATTCTTATGCATTCCCTTTTATAACCTTCTACTTGAATAGCCTCAGAAGTGTCTGGTTGGAAAGATCCCTGCTTTTTGTCCTGGAAAATCTCAAGAATATTTGCTATTTCCATACACCTGTTTTTACCAGCATTTTTGTCTAAAGTTAGATAAATTACCTTTCCTGTTACCTCCAAACAGAAGGACCTCTAAATATTTTTGATAGAACTTTTTTCTTCAGCACAATACTGCTGTGAAAGAAAAGCATTATGCGCACTTCAGTTACATAGCAAAGAAGGATCAGACTAGTTCCTATAACATAGGTTCTGTTGTAACATGTGTTTAGGATTAGAGCCTATTATCTTTCCTGTGGGTTTTTTTGTTTGTTTTTTTTGTTGTGTTTTTTTTAAATGGTAATGGGTTAATACTTGGTATGCTTCTATCATCTTCACTTGAGTTGTGGCTATGTTAAATTTGCCAAATATGTTGGAATTTTTCTACATCTGAAAATTAGACCTGTTCTTTGGGTAGGGGAGAAAGACAACCTTTTTTAGGCTAGAGGTTTTGTTGTTGTTTTTGAAACACTGCAGCAGTTATTATGTATTAGTAGCCATGTATTGCTTCCATTATGAAGATTCAGACATGTAAGTTGTTAATAAATTATTCTGGTTTTTGTGGAAATGGAATGCTATGCAGTTTATGGGAGGGCAGGCCCATTTTCAAGGGTCAGAATTTTTTTTTTAAGGCAGCTGAGAGCAGTTATCAAGAATACAGAATCTGCATTATCTGACTTTAAATAAAAGGTGAATGCATGCTGTCATCATACATTAGAGAGGAGATGACTTCATTTCTCTTGTATACTACTGAAATGTTTCCTTTCAAGAAAGGTGGTTTCAGTTTGTGAATTTTGGAGGAGAGGCTGCTACTTGGTGTCTGGCAGTTAAGAAATCTTGCCACTCTCATTCTTTAGAAGCTGATTATGATTTCAAGAAAACAGATGGAGTAAATGGCTATATGGGAATAACACTGGATTATTGGCAAGCCATGTCTCAAGGCACTGTTGTAAAACTTAATAGTTGGGAGAGTAACATAAGTTCTACGGTGTGTACTTGTATCACAGAGATTTTGGTTAACTTTGAAAGCTTATTTTTCAAAATATAAAGACGTTTGTAGTCTCTGTGAGGTTAACATTTTCTTGCAATGTTATGTTTTTTTCAGGCTGTGTGTGAGTGGATTTCCACGGCAGCATGAGAAACGCTGGAAAGAGCCTTGTGGTAGGGTGGTGTTAGACCCTGACTTCATGGTGCAGCTGCTCACAGGTGTCTATTATGCCATGTACGTGGATGATTTTTTTTGTATAAAGGGAAATGTCTGGTTTTACATAAACCAACTAGCATTTATATTTTAATTTATGATTGAAAAAAAGTTATTCTCAGAACACAAGTTTATAAATCATTTAGTGTCTTCCCCCTTACTTCCTCACTCCACCAACTGATAATTGGAAAATATCTTTGTCAGCATTGAATTAGATGATGAAGGGCCAGCAGTAAGTGCCGTAGAGAATTGAGCTTCTGTCTTCATCTTTTCCCAAGTTTCTACTACCACCACATACCTTAACAAGCTTGGATGCCAAGGTAACTGGATGAGATGCAGACTTCATGAATGTCAGTAGATTCTGAGGTAGCAAAAATAAATTTCTGATGAAAATTCTGTTCTGCTAAGTAGTGTTAACCTTTACATCTGGACCTTTTTTTTTTTTTTTAGCCTGACTATGGCATCCACTTTGTCTTGCTTGGAGGTGACAGGGAGCAGCTTTTTCGGCATACCAACAAGATTAATTTAAAAATGCTTTGTTTATACTTTTAGAAGAAATGGAGTGGCTGGAGTGTACATATAGTTGAACTTTATACATAAGCAAAGAATTGAAGAGCTGAATTTGGGCAGAAAAAATACAAGTTTGAGTTCATAAGATATGAAAAATAAATCTTTCTTAACTTTTTAGATATAATGGTCAGTGGGATCTTGGCCAGGAAGTATTGGAGGACATAATTTATAGAGCACAGCTTGAACTCTACTCGCAGCCTCTGCTGGTAAGAAGCAATCTTTTGCAGTTTATGAGCTTGGTTAAGAGGGGTGCGGATGTGTTTCTGAAGTGGACAGGTAATGAAAGCATTTGTGGCCATTTGTTGCACTTCCAAATGCAAGCGATTGTTAACAGCTGGTGTTTTCAAGATACTTATACCATGCTTTTTCTGCTTGAATATTAAGCTAGAGTGTTGAGAATCTCCTAGGACTCATTGATGCTGAAAGCTAGGATTTTCGAATGTATTTCAGTTGGCATAAGCTACTGATGAGTGGTTTGAAGATGCTTAACCACCTGGTCATATGTCATAAGACACTGGTTGCAAAAAAGGTGTTTGCTTTTAGACCTTCAGCAGGGCTGCAAATATATTGTATGATTTAACTGATAACACAGTAGGAAAAGCAACAGCAAGATAGATCTGAAAGTGAAAAGCAGAATCACCTCCAGGGTCAATGTCAGATTTTGATCAAAGCCACACAGGTCTTAATCTTTACCTTCTTTGGAGGAGCAGCAATACAAAGGAGTTCTTCTAATTGGGTGGGTTTGTTGTCTTGTTGTGTTGTTTTTTTTTCCTCTATACTTGCTTCTCTGATCATAAAAACAGAGAAGTTAAATTGAGAAAGTCGTAAAACTGGGCTGGATGCAGGTGGATGTGATTGTGAAGGATGAGGAGGAATTCAGAGATTTTATTTTTGTCACATGCAGGAATGAGGATCAAAATAAGAGGGAAAATTAAAGAGAATAAAGTAAAATAGACTGTCTCAGTTTCTGCATCAGAATTGTGGCTAGAAGCCTTTAGGGCTCCTCTGAACTAACAGCAGTAGAATTTTACTGCTTTTTAGATAACTGAAAAATGAGTGGATTGGGAAAAATCTTTTTATGTGCCAATCTGATATCCCTCTCTTCTGCAATAAAGTATGTGAAATTACTCTGATGAATTAATTTTGGCTGTAAAATTTATCAGCAGGCTTTCTGGCACTGCTGCATTTCAAATGCTTGGTATCCATTGAATTATTACAATAGTTGGTTCCTGACTCATTGCTCCATCAGATTGAAAGTTTTAAATTAAATATTGAGCCTGCTGAATTGGGCCATCCTGTCAAACTACTATATTTAAAAGGTGTGTAGGAGGATCTGGAAATTAATTCAGTTGGTCATATGACAACTTTCAACTCTCTTTGTTCATTTTTAATCAATTTGTCCTTTGAGATTACCTCTTTTAAGAATTTTCTAGAATGTCTTTGGGTTTTTCCAAAGCTACTATTGCCTCTTTGTCCCATTGTCTAATGTTGGTGACATCATGACATTACCAGTTTTTCCCGCTTCCCCTGTTACAAAGCTTTTCATGCACCTGCATGCAGGCACATCTGTGGGGTGTTCTTAATACTCTCGTCATTGCCTTGCTTCCTATCTTGTTTTACTGCAATTTTGAAAAAGCTGTTTAATAAAACTGACAGTTTCTTTAATCTATTGCCTGCATTCCTATGATTCTAGCAATTTGACTTTTTCAAAGGCTGGAGTCTTTTCACCTTGTTTGTTCTCCAGGAGATGTATTTTGTATTTTAACATTTAAACTACTGGCACCAAATAAAATATCATCTCTGTGGCATCCCAGAGAAGATTCAAGTTCAGCCTAGGATTTCCTAGCAGTGGCAAATTTTTTGAAGTCCATTTAATATTCAGGCAAATCCCCATGTTGGGATTATTTTAAAACATCTGTACCCAAAGCTATTTTGTATATTATGGGAGTACCATCAGTCATCATTGCATAAGAAACATCACAGTCCCTGTGTTTGGGTATGTCTCTTGAAGGAATACTTTTTAACAATATAGTAGATCCATTGTCCAATTTAAATATGTTTATATTGCCTGTGGACTTGGAAGGAAAGGGGGGAGCATGGGAAGTAGCTGAAGTAGCAGCATCAGAAAGTTATGAAATATCTGTGATGTAGAAGCAGTCCTGATAGCCAAAGACACTACTGGAAAGAGTAGGAAGTAATAAAAGGGAAATGCTTTTTTCTGGGAAAAGGAAAGTGTCTCAGTTGCCAAGTACAGGGAATTGGTTTCATAGTAATGAAAACTGGGAGTTTCTACAGAGGGAAACTAATTGCCAAGACTCAACATTAAGATAGCCTGGACCTGGGGAGTAGCTCAGTTCCAGTCAGTCTATTTCTCTGAACACAAGTGAATTCTGAGCTTGTTCCAGATGGAAGTCACTGTCTTCTGTTCAGAGATGAACAGGCCCTCTTAGACCGGTACAGAACAAGCATAGATCAGCAAGTCTCTATTATCCATTTTGTTTTATGGATGTACTTTACTTTTGTTGGATGTTCTTTTCATTAGAGCTCCTTTCTGATGGGCAAGAGTGGATTGGATGTCTGGCCTGAAATCAGCCCTGCTTTGTCATTAGCAATTGCAGTCTTGGTTTGCCAAGTGTGGATGGTGCTGGTTGTTTCCCTGTCTTTCAGGGCTTGATTAGACATAGTGAACAAATTTTTTTTGCATCCTGAAGGATCGTGGTTTTGGGGTTATGTTTTTTTTGGTGGTTTGGTTTTGTTTTATTTTTCTGTTAGAGAAGGACTGTGACTCATTTAAACTGGTTGTTCAAATTGTTTCAAAGTTTTACTGTTGCATTGCTTTTTATCTCCATATAGTTCTCTTCTGTCCCCAGAAGTACAATTTGTGTTGTTAGAAAAGGCCAGCTGTTAAAAGGTTTGGCAAGCAGAAGTGCTCTGTCACTTTTCTGCTCCTGTTGCAGAAGCCTCTTGCTACTCATTTTTAGGGTTTTAATCCTGTATACTGAGAAGGGTATCTATACAAAAGAGGGCACAACTCCACTGAATGGAGGATGTGGAGGCAAACCATTTATACTCTTGAACTTGACCTGCTTAGGTTCAGTGCGGCAGAAATTATTTTCTGAAGTCTTCAGCTTGATCAGGGATAGGATGAATGCAATTTGTACCGTTTTGAGAGGATGGCATGGAAAAAGGCCTATGTGTGAATAGGAGAGCAGTTCACAAGTGTTAAGGCTGAGAGAATTGGCTAATAAAGGGTGAATCGTTGGACAAGTGGAAGGCAGAATATTAAGGAGCATTTCTGTGATGGTGCCAGTGATCAAGAATGCAGCTGAGAGATGTTTAATCCCCCAGGAAGTGAAGTCTTTGTTTTAGTTACTATCCTGGGATCTGTGCCTTTTATTATGTGTGTCTTAAAATAGGGTTTATAGGCCTTTGCCTTGAGGTAGCAAGTAGACTACATGGATTCAAGACATGCAGACCATGTGTATTGAAGTAAATGTGTTTATCTTCCTGTATTGTGGACTCTCCTCTCTCGTATTGCAAAATCCTTTTTTTTTTTTTTTTTTTTGTGTAACCAAAGAAAATCCATTAGGAGGCAATATAAAATTGCTTTTTATAATCCTTCTTTAAATTGTAGTGGAAAGAAAAGCCTACCCAAATTATAGTGGGAACAGTTGCTAGGTAGGATCTTATAGAGATTATCAAGTGACATTATTTTCCATATTTAGATTTTTTTTTTCTTTTAATTTTAAGTCTAGATGTCTCTGACCCTCTCTGTTTTATCTACTGCCCTCACTAAAGGAGGAGTAAAGAGCATCTGGGAAGACATGCCTGTGAAATTTGAACAAAGTTGCAATGTTAAGTTTAAAATATGTCTAATTTTTTTATTGCTGGTTGTTTGAAGTCAGTAAGATTTTGGAAAATCAAGGTTCAAGGTGTTCACTTTTCTTAAAGTTTTGAAACACATTTTGTGTACAGCAACTTTGTTATGGGTGAGTATTGGCACATGCTGTAGAGACTCAGGCTACTTTTCAAAAACTGGTACACAAATTCACTATTTGAACAATTTACTTGTGAACTACAGAGCATGAACTGAAAGTTGTTTTTAAATATTTTTTTTTCAGGTAAACCTCTGGTTGCACAAATGTATTTGATGGGAAATTTAAAGAAGCAGTTAAACTATAAATGCCAAAAGAGGTCACTTGTTCTCCTTAGAGCTGCAAAACAAAACGTCTGACTTAATAATAAGCTATTTCAAAAAAATTAGAAAATTACTGGATACTCATATCTTAGGTTGCAATATTATTATTATTTTTTTTTTTGGATCTTGCATGTACTTGCAACCTCATTCCCTTGGTTAGGTTTTTGGGTGGGTTTTTTTGGGCGGGGGGAGGAACTGGCCCTGCCTCCCTCATGCATAAGGCCATATGCTGTTTACATTGTCTTGTCCTGTGGCTTAGTTTTATGACATTCTTGTAATAAAACATAAATGGTATTTTCCTTGTCATTTTGTAGTCTCTTGAATCAAGACCTTCCTGTGTAGGTTGTTACAGGTGGCAAAGCAGAACTAAATAAATTATCTCACAAAATTGAAAAAATTAAGCAATGTTTTTGGGAATAGATTTGTGATGAGCTTTTCAACATAGTTATCAACTGTGAATCTCAGGGACGGGGCTGTCCATCCGGATGGAACAGACATAATTAACAATTCTTGGTGGTTTCCCTTTCTGTATCCAGCAAGAGATCTAAAATTGCCATTATTGCAACCAAGTGGTAGTACAGTGGTTTACTTTTATCTTAGGTTGCAAATGCAATGAAGAACTCACTGCCCTTTGATGCTCCTGACGCATCCCAGGATGGCCAGAAGGTACTGAAAGTAGAAGTTACCCCGACAGTGCCGAGGATTTCCCGGACTGCCATTACAACAGCTTCTATCCGTCGACACCGCTGGAGGAGGGAAGGTGAGCTTTCTCAGCCAAGAGCAAATACTATAGTGTACTGTAGTACTCATCATCGCCACTGTATTCTGGCTTCTGAGTTTGAATGTTTGCACAATGGTTGGTTGGGGCTTTCTGTTCATTTGTTTTGGAAAAGTAATACTCCGTAAGAGTGTTATAGTATTTCACATCTTCAGAGCACTGCATGAACATGAACATTTGGGTGTTTGTTTTATTTTTTATTTGGTGATAACCTGTGAGGTAGCTGAGAAAATGGAGAAGCTGGAAAAGGTTCAGTAAGACATCTTTTTTTCTCCATGTAATGCAGGATAAAATTGTAGGGATAGAGTTTGTCTTAGAATTTGAATTTTCTCTTTAATCCACGATAATACTCAACTTCCTCCCATCATAAATAGCTCATGAAATAAATTATCCAGACTTTGATAGGGTTCCAGCTACCTAAAGCTACTGAAGGTAGTGGCAGAGGGAAGAGCTGAGCATTCCATTCCTGCCATCATATGGCACAATTTAGACAGGGCCCCTGTCATAAAATAGCTTTGGATAGCTTAGAATTAGTCCTTATTTTTCCTTATGGAGTACATACATCATATGGAAGTCTTCTTGACTGTATGAAGTAAAAATAAAGAAGTAATATTTACCTTGATATGACATCTTCAGTGTAGGTGAAGCAAAAAGCTTGCTTTGAAATCACCTTGTCATAAAGCTTTGTTGCTGCATGTATAAAACATTGATTTAAGAAAGTTGCATAAGTGGCTGAAGGTAAAAAGTAAAATAACCTAAAAATGAACTGAGGGAACAGGAGTTGGAAAACAAAGATTATGTACTTTCCTGTGGTTTTTGTTGGGTTTTTTTTTCCCCCCCTCCTTCTGTCTCAGCAAAAGGATTTTATGACCTTTGGTCTTAAGCTAAATCAGGATGTCCAGGACAAGTAGCTGTCTTCTGTTTACAGGACTCTGGATCATGCTTGTCTTCACTGTAGTTGCCATTTTATTAATTTGCTAGTGTCTGGTCTACAGTATAGCCCACCTGTCCCTTTCTGTGGATGTTATGACAACTTTTAACTAACTATGGGTAGTGTTTTGTTTTTGTTCCATGTCCGCATAAATTTTCTATTTTCCCTGCCTGGGTTGGAATGCCAAGAAAGAAATAAATAGAAAAGCACTAAAATGTTATATGTTGAATCCCAGATGGCTTTGACTTCTCAAACGAGGCTGACTCAAGCATACCTGGCTCACCGATCCAACACGGCTCCACAGACCTAGGGATCAAACGTGAGCAAGAGGGGGAGGTGCTGATGCGCAAGACCCCTGAGCATGGCTTCCTGGAGCCCACCTTGGCAGCAGCCACAACAGAGGGTAGGACAGAGATGAGGAGGCAGAAGTCAGTGAGGCAGTTGCTGGAGGAGGATCCTGGCTCCCTATCCCCAAGCAGAACTTCTTTCCATTCTAGCGTGTGTTTCCACTATCCCAGGGTGTATTAGCTTCTCTTTGCAATACACGCATCCCCTATATACCTAACATCAGGTCAGATACTACCTTTTGTTATCACGTGGGCTGGCCTGAGGCTTGCATCTGTGTGGTGAAAGACTGCTTGGCATGGCAAAAAAGAAAAAAGAAAGAAAAAAAGACAGGGGTAATAGCCAAGAGCTTTGGGATTGCTTGGAAACTGTCTATTACTGAGCATGTTTAATCTAATATTCAGAAGGAAAAAAATGCACCAGATGAACATGAATCTAGTCCTGAAAAGCAGACAGAATAAAAATGGATTTGGCTACAGCTTTGTCACAGTGATGTCTTGTTAGTGTGCAGTTTTTAAACTTCCAAGAACAAAGTTTCCTGTTCCCACTAGAAGTCAAGCCTATCTAAGACATATACAACTGCATATGTCATCCTCTTAATTGAAAATCCGTACATGTACATCTTGTTTACATGAATGACCTGACTGCTCTAAAGACAAGTACCAAAAAAGTGCTTGTGTTCTCAGAAAGAAGTCAGGTTGTCATATTTGTAAAAACTTTAGGAACAATTACTGCTTTCTTTCTTAGTGATGCTGTCTACATAAATGCTTTAGGCATTTGTATGTCTGCCCTGCAGCCAAGAACAGCAGATAGAGTAGCTGGTTGAAATTTAGTTTAGTGAAGTTAATCTATTAATTTTCACATCTTTTCTGTGTAAAAGACCTGGTTTTAAATACTGGAATTTGAGTAATGATTTATTCTCAAAATATAGAATTAATCTTGCAAGTTTAGCTAAATGTATTTTCAAATCTTCTTTTTCTATCATTTGGTATTTCCAGTCTCTAAGCATTTATCTGCACATTTGGATATGAGCTACATAGGTTTTATGTTTTTAATTCTGGGAACAATAATCTGGAGAATTTGGATATTTAATGTAGTGTTATCATAGAATCCTTACCCTTAATTAGAGTCAGTATCAAACATTGATTAAGACATCATGCTTCTGTAGAATATAACTGCATAAACATGTTTAGTGTAGGTTTATAATCTACTTCTTGGTGCAGTGAATTTGAGCATGCTCAGTAAATGAGTCCTGTCTTCTCCTAAATTCTCTTGTTCAGTTGGTCTTACTCCATTTTACTAAACTTTGCATGTGCATGACCTGAAGAATATGGAGAAATCCTCAACTGCAGAGAACCTGTTGGGAGACACAGGAAGTGGAAAAGAAGTTAATAACGATGTGGCCTCCTGGTCTGAATTTGCTTTAAGACATCTATATAATTGGGCATGTTGTTAGATAAGGCATCGTTCCACATACTTTTTTTCAACAGAAGTGGGTTGAATACCCTTTACTTCTGTAACCTTAGCAATGTATAATTGCATATTTGAGTGAACTGAATTCTGCCAGTTGATAGCATCTAGGGGAAAGCCAAAAAGTGGAGTTTGGCTTGATTATCAGTGTAGAATTATGTGTGTATAAACAGTAGTCTATTATTTTACTGTTGCTGATTTCACAGGCAGTTTCAGCTAGCAAATTTCCTCTCATAATTTTCATACCAAGCAATATAATGAAAGACTGATAATTTCTTGTTACTTTTCAGCCTTCAGGTATGGGAAGGATAAACAGAATAAAAATTACTTTTAAAAGCTGTAAAATACCCCTTCTTTAGATCACTGTTTTAATGCACTAAGTAGAAAAGCAGATTTCAAGAATGACTCAGTAATGCCTTACAAGGTATTCCGCTTCTGTGTGGTGGCAGCTGTGGTTATATGCACATTTTGGGTCACTGGACAATGCTGAATCTACATCTTCATGATTAATTATGCATAGGCATAATTAACAAATACTTTGGAGACAGACTTACTCTGATAAGGAACAGTGAGAGTCTGGAATGCACACTGTAGTGCAATTTATATGATTTCTGTCAGGTTGCACTGTCTTTCTCTTCTCACCTTACAGTAGAAGAGGGTTTGGAAGGAGTAGGTCTTCAGGTTTTGTTTTCTTTTTTAATTGTCTTACTGTTCTGTTGGGGAAAAAAGCCAAACATTATGACTTGACACATGATTCTATGACTTCATCCTGTTTTTCCCCCAAACACATTGTGTAAGGACTCAAACATTTTTTGTTTCTAAGGGCAGTTTTTAGAGGAAAAATTATACGTATTGGAAAAAGAATGTGTTTGCTGAATTACTTCAATCCCACTAAGAACATTTATAGGTATATGGATTCGACTAGACAGAAATTATCTTGCATGTTGTCTTCTCTATCTTCTTCATTTCTGAGCACTGCTGAGCTGCCTGGGCCTTTGCATAGTTGCAGTATCCAAAAGCTTGCAGCAACCCCTCTCAGTCTTGTCTGAAAATTCTGTGAATAAAATGCCACTTTTACTGTGACTCTTCTTCTTCTGTTTTGGCATCCTGATGCCTTAATGTAAACTTTGAAGACAGCTCATGTTCTTGTAATAATATAAAGCTTAGCAGTATTAACTGGAGATACCTTCTTGCAAGTTACATCTTTCTTTTGAATAAGAAGGGCTTGAGAGGGGAACTTCAGCTGCTGCTATTGCTGCTTATAACACACTTTCATCCAGCTTTGCATGATTATATAAAGAAACATAAATGTTTGTTTATTGAAAAAGTGCTCTTGCTTTCAGTATGTTCAGTTATGTCATTTTTATTAGCATCTCTGATTATGTGTGGGAAGGTTGGGAGGGAATGGAGGTGTGGTGGATTGTGAATTAAATATATTACTGTCTAATGTAAGAAAATAAACTTATTTTGAATATGGTTACAGGAAGCTAAAGCAAGTAACACACCCTTCATTTTAATAATAGCCCTTGAAACCCAAGAAGCTTCTTTTTCTAAGGCTAAAGGCTTTACCAAGGAAGGAAGACTGCACTAACATCAACTGTATTACCTTTCTGCTTCTGGGAGACTAATGAGTCAAGTAGAACTATATACAACTACTAAATAATCTTGCATTGTTCTGAGAGAGGCCTGAGAATGGTCTATTTTGAAGATGGGTAAACTTCTTTTTTAAGCTGATACACAAGCAAAGTTTCAGAAAATAAGCTTACCACAGAACAATAAAACCTTCCTGTCAAGTTTTATTTTTACTTTACACTTCAGCAGTGTGAAGGCAGAGCTGGCTATATTCCTGCTGCACAGAGGTGGCAACAACACTGAAAGCTTTGTATCTGTTCTCCTTGTAATATAAAACATTCCTTAGTTCTCTGCTAACAATCAGCATGAAAGGATGAACTTCCACTCAAATGTTAGAATCTCCTACATCCTTGTCACCACTTTTTCCTCATTCCACAAAGTTTCAGCAATCTGGGTTGAACAAACTGCCAGTAGAGCAGTATAGTGGCTTTAGCTGGGACAGATCCATAGCCCTTGCAGATTTCTTGCAAATAATCAGAGTCCACGGCTTTTATAAAGAAAAGCAAAATTCTTATAGCCTGAATATCACCTTGTTTGCTAACCTGGTTAAACTTTATGGCTTTTTCCCATTGAAATGAGATCTGTGGAGCAAAACCTCAAGCTCCATTTTTAATTTTGTAATTGGAATACTGTTCAGTTTTCTACTAAAACAGTCACTCTTCTGAGTACCTGGAGCATAGAAAAATGACTGGAATAAGGTGGGTTTTTTTTAAATCTAGGTGTTGATATAAAGTAAATATGATGGAAGCACCTACATAGGATTGCTAGAAATGCAGGGAGGGTTGAACTCTGGAGGAAGGAGAACTAGGAATTAAGTTATTCTCCAATAGAAAGTAGTCAGATTGTCTGAATTGGCAGCTACACACAACAGAAGATGTCCACCTCTGTTGGAGCACTGGGGTTACTCACCTAGGAAGTAGCCTAATTCTGAAGCTTATCAGGCACTCACCAGAAGTTACTCTGACTGGAAGAGACTCTGAACATGCTTAGATCTTGCCTCAAAATAGGATAAGCTTGAAAGAGTCCAGCGCAGAGCTACTAAGATGATTAAGGGAGTGGAACATCTCCCTTATGAGGAAAGGCTGATGGAGCTGGGTCTCTTTAGCTTGGAGAAAAGGAGACTGAGGGGTGACCTCATCAATGTTTACAAATATGTAAGGGGTGAGTGTCAGGAAGATGGAGTTAGGCTTTTCTCAGTGATGACCAGTGATAGGACAAGGGGTAATGGGTGCAAGGAGGTTCAAGGTGAATATTCGAAAAAAAATTTTTTTACTGTGAGAGTGACAGAGCACTGGAACAGACTGCCCAGGGAGGTTGTGGAGTCTCCTTCACCGGAGACATTCAAAACCCAGCTGGATGCGTTCCTGTGTGATGTACTCTAGGTGACCCTGCTCTGGCAGGGGGGGGGTTGGACTAGATGATCTTTTGAGGTCCCTTCCAACCCCTAGGATTCTATGATTCTATGAAAGGCTATTTAATTTAATTTTATGTTTAACTACATGTAGGAGGAGAAAGGGTGCTAGTATCTGCAGACAGAACTAAAGCAAATTAACCAACTGGGGCCCAATTCTTCTTGTTTATAGACAAAGTTTGGGAGATACTCTGATAAAAGTGATGTAGAGGAAAGCCAAATTAAGCTCAGGGAGTACTTACTGTTAGATTCTGTTATTCTGCTAAATAGGACAGGAAGGTTATTGGTTGAGAATCAGAAGGTTTTAAGCAAGTGGAATCCAGGTAGGTTAGCAAATTATGTTTGTTTTGGTATTCTGTGTGTATCTTTGTCTTCATGTAACTTGAATGCTTCCTATGTTTTCTGATTTTTCTCTTTTCTTAATAGATACTGAAGGTGTAAATGGAAGAGAGGAATCTCTGAACCTTAATGATGCTGATGAAGGATTTTCATCAGGAGCTTCGCTCAGCAGCCAGCCAGTTGGGACCAAACCTCTATCATCTGTATCCCAGAAAGGCAGCTTAAGGAAAACAGCAAGTGGGCGTTCTGCAAAGGATAAAGAAACCTCTTCTGCAGTAATATCTAATGAGAGCCCTCGAGATTCTGTATCTCGGAAGCAGTACGTGCACCAATCCGCTGATCTTGACACAGATGTAATTGAGATGACACCTACTAAGAAGCACCTAGGCCTGCCTACTGGGCAGGTGGTGGCAAAAGCCAACAGTTTGAGCCTGATCAGGACCGCCAGTGCTTCCTCCAGTAAATCATTTGACTATGTGAATGGCAGTCAAGCAGGCTCCAGTGTTGGAGCTGGTACAGAGAGTGTTACCAATCTAGCAGCTGGCAACACCAATCGGTTTTCGACTATCAGCCTACAAGAGGACCGACTAGGCCAAGGTGGGGAAGGTAAAGATCTCCTTTCTCCAGGAGCTCCCCTAACCAAGCAGTCTCGATCTCCAAGTTTCAATATGCAGCTGATATCCCAGGTGTAAATTTTACTCCCTTCCTTAGGACTCCTTCTTTCCCCTTAATTCCCAGGCAAGTTCATCCTTAGGCAAAACATGAATCATCATCCCACCGTGTGACAATACTGACTGTTGTGATCTTGTTTGATTTGGTTTAGCTATCATACTATATTACTGAAACAGCAATAATTCTTCCCTCACCTTCATCCTCTCCCTCACCTTGTAAACATGGTTGTGAAGCAGTATATAATGTACTGTATGCCTTTTTCCATGCCTTCCTTCCTCCTTGGGTGATGTGCAATCCATCGTAGGCTGATCAGTCCCATTTCAACACTGTGAGACTGGAGACACCGGCAGAAATGGTGAATGTGATCCCTATGAGATGATGCTTTGGCTTTGTTAAGAAATAGAAACGGGTTTGTTTTCTCGGTCTACAGTACTGCAAAGACTACTGGATCATGACTTTTCTTTCTCAGAACCAGGAGTGCCTCAGAGATTCTAGTGTGACTTTGGACCTCTCTGAGTCTGTGCAATCAATTCTGGGGAGGGGATTGTCATTGCTGCTCCTGGCTGCCTACAGCACTTTTTCATTAAAATGAGGGTAGTTTTTTCTTGCCTGCCCCCAGTCTCTCATCCCAGAAGCTTTTGGTGTTCAGCAACTGAGACATGCATATTATCAAGTTGTTTTACCTCAGAGAGAGGATTCTAAGTAGATAATGTTGGTTACAATGCACTTCTAATGGCGTTGTAGCCATATGTGATGTTACGTGTCTTCTCCTCTAGGATACAGGGTCATTCTGCATATAGACTAATGTAGACACCACCATGCTGTTAAAGCAATTTGCTTTGTAAGTGGGAGGGGAACACTACTTTCCCAGGAACTAATGGCTAGCTCTGCTCCTTTTTTTGTTGTTATTCTTGTGAGGTGCTGATCACTGAATGGAAAGGCATATTCGGGTAGAGTATTTCTCAGGCTGCTTTCTATGGTAACATGGCTGTTGGACACTCCGTGCCCCTCTCAGCTGCTTTCTCATTGTCCCTAAATTCAATCATGGATTCATTTGAAGAATCCTTCAGTCTGGACAGACCATACTCTTAAGGGGCTGTCTCAGGGATAGAGACAATATTTTGTTAGAAACACTGAAGCTTCAATGTGAAATGCTTTTCTAGAAACACCATTTGTGTAATGGGGTACTGACAGTCCTTTTTTCCCAGAAGGGTCATTGCCTTGGTGTATTATAACCTGGTGAGGTTTTTTTAACTTATTTTAGTGGGTTGGCCCTGCTCTAGAAAATTCAGAACTCATGCCATTGAATGTATATCCTTGGTGTGTGTGCACTGGCTGGTACTTATGCTAGAGAGCACTGCTTAGAAGCACATTTCTGGTTACACAAGAGAATGCTTGTATTTTTCCATCTCTATCTCTTGGATTGTTAGTGGGAAAAGGGGGAAAGTTCATCCTCTATACTTAAGTCACGTATGATATCCTGGAAGTTTACAAATTGTAAACCCATGGGAAATAGTTACAATCTTTATGTGGATGTTTTTGTTTCCCTGTAACTGTGAAGGAAAAATATAAGCAGTTAATAAATAGCAGACTATCTTGTAATGATAGTCTTTAAGAAATTCAGGACCATGACATGGTGTTGCCTTTCTGGTAGTTGGTTTTGTTTTGTTTGCTTGTTTTTTGTTTTTGTCTTGCTTTTAAATCACTTTATTTCAAATATAACCTTTTTCAAATTTACATTAAAATTATTTTAAATACTTGAAGGTTTTTTTGTAGTTTGACGAGTCTCTTTGCTGTTCTAGCCTTTGTAAAGTGAATTAATTGGCTTCAGGACTGATGCAGAAATTTGATTGAAGAGTAAATAGAATCATCAGAAAGAAAGAAAACCTTACAGTTTCTGAATTGAAGTTAATCTCTAAGGACCATCAGTCACATACAGGTAGAACTAAGACAAAGCTGAGGTTAAGTTACAAGGCTTTTTCTGTAAAAATGCCAAAAGCTGTATATGGTTAAACTTTATTTTATAAAGTTTTGCTAGTGGAGACAATTGGTAAGTGATGGCTGAAAGTACAGTGTATGTTTTCATAGTAGAAACAGTGAAAAAGGAAATTCTATTGAAGAACCATCACTGTGAATTGAAAAGGACCAAACAATATGCTTGAATCTTTGGGAAAGAGAAGGTCAGGAGTGTCAGCTAATTTTTTTTAAATAATTGCTTAATTTTAGCATTTTAAAAAGTAGAATTGTTCAATAGTAAGGTTCTCTACTTTCTACATTTAGTGTTATAAGCAGTTATCCAGAAGTTTCAGGACATGTAAATTGGCATCAGGCCAAATTTTAAAACTTCTAAAAATTAATTTAAAAACTCTTATGTATGGACTCCTGCACTATTAAACTATTTCAGGAAAGTGAGACAGCTCAGTGTCTTCAGATCAGGAAGTCAAATGGACATGCATAAATTCAAATTGGTTAAAACTTCAGTCAAACTACCTTTTAAGATACTTTTACAGTTCTCATTTTGAAGATGTGCCTTTTGTTACAATTTCATCCATCGTATTTTTATTTTTCTTGTGTATATATACTTACCCCATGGAAGGCTTTTTAAAGTTCAAATTTATCCCTTTTAAGAAGTATTTTTTGCTAGGTGCTGATTATCCTTTTAGTGCAATGTTTCAGTTGTGGGAGCTTATTTTGTAATTTTTCAGACAAGCACTGTTCAAGATCTGTCTTACAAAATGAATCATCACTAGTGTCTCCAAACCAACTGTAGTAACAGGCTTTGCCAGTGCTGTATATCATGATTATCATTAATGCTTCTATATGTGTCTCAAACTGTGCCAAGGTGTGTTAAGACCGTAGCGAGGCTTCGTACACCTAAGTTCAGCATTTCACTTCACTTGAAAGCATCATGGCAGAAACAGAATTACAAGTGTCTGGGGTATGAGTTGAGGGAATTACTGCTGTCTTTCTGATTATATATGCAAAGTACTAAATGAAGTACAAAACATACTTAAAGTTTCTGACACCTTTGGCAAATATGTAGGCTTAAATCTCTTTACCCTGAAGTCACTCTGCTGTGTCTTGTTTTAGAACATTTGGTACTTTACCTGACGCACTAGATTTAGATTTCTGCAATATTTCATTGCAACTGCAGCGTTAGAAGGTAAAAAAGCAGAACACTGATTTTTTAATATTTTTTTTCCCCCCTGTGCATGTGCACGTCTAGGCACATACATGTACTCCATAGGTGAGGAAGTGTGGGCACTATATTTTGATGTGTGTATATATATATTTAACTTGGGACAAATTAATTATTTGTTGATACAATTTTTACCACATCACTATATGCTGTCATTTTGCAGCTCATTTTTGTTGTGCTTTATAATTTTAAAAAAATACAAAGCGTTGGGATTGCTAACTCCAGTTTGCTTATCCTTTTCAGGTGATTATTGTGAGCAGCTTTTTGGTCAAATAGCCATTTGTTCATCCTGTGGGCAGCAAAGTGATTAAGTAAAAATACCTAATAAAATTAATGTTGCAAGATGACAGCTTAAGTTGCTGTATTATCTTTCTAGCTTTGATTTGGAGACTTAGTATGTGACTGTCCATTTTAAATGCAGATTTCTTTGAACACATTTTCTGATGTGAATTTGGGAAAAACGTTTTTAACAGCATACTTCATTCTGCAATGCTGAACATCACATTGCAGCCAGTAAGCATTAGTTCTAGTATTTGTGCTTTGCAGGTGTGTTGATCTTAAATACAACATTTCCAACATGCTTCTGCTAGCTTTAACATAATTAAAGTTATCTGTTTTAACATCAAAATAGTGAGAAAAAAAAAGTATGTTTTCTGACAAAGTATATATTTGCACTACTTATGAATACTGGAGTTTACTGGGTCAGGGTTTTTTCTCACCATGTGAGGTTTACTTGTGTGTGGGTAGGTACATACATTTGTCATGTGTTGACAATCAATTTCCTGAACTTTGTGTATACTGGATGTAAATATGAACATATTTTTCAAGATCAAGGTGGAAATCTGCACTGTAATGGTGGTAAAGCTACTCTGTAGTCATGTGACCCCAACTCTGTCCCTTTTTTGTCTCCAGATACTATGTGGTTTGTTTTACTTCTTTAATGAAGATTATTACTGTTCTTGGAAAATTTTTGCTCCAGGGAGATTTTCCTCAATATTTGATGTATAACATGTTCAGAGAATCATATTTTGAAAATTTTAATTTTGGAATAGATAATGCTATGCTATGACTATATTTTAACCTAAGGTTTTAAACTTTTCTTATTTTATGATGAACCAATGGCTATCCCTTTTAAGTGTTCAGCATTTTCATTTTGGTCACAAACCAGAATTTTTTTGTTTATCTTGGCTTAAAAAATTTAAATTGGTTTGAAGACTGAGAACCAAAAATAACTTCTTGAGCAAAATTATAAAAATCAATCAGTACAGACTAGATATTTTACTCACAATCCTGGAGGAGGTCTGGAAAACATAATGGAATGTGTTTGAATGAAGTGTATGTGCTGCACACAGAACAAAAAGGTATTTCTGCTTTTAGTAACTAATAAACACATCCTTAAATTCTGCAGTTCTCTGATTGCCAAAGATATTGCTACCTTGGCATGGTCAATATTGCATTACAGCCATTAGCTAGGTCTTATTTGTAACAACCATTTACGTCATAGGAATAGTTTGCATCAGAAGAGTAAATATGCCCCTTTAAAAAATTTGTTTTAATTTCTTGTTTAGAATGCTTGCAGGACTAAAGTTACAAAATATCACTCCTTTCCAAGCATGGTAAGCAAAGAAGCCAGATAATCTGTGCTTGCATTGCATTTTTTATTTAAATAAAATTATTCAATATTTTATATTTTCTTCAGTTTATATTTAAATGCTGTTTGTTTCTAGCATGTGGGCCTTAATTTCTTTTGATTATTTTTTGGTTTGTTTTCCCACTGGCACTTAGATACCCTTTGCTATGAAAAGCCTTTCTGCAGGTGATTCAGGGTCACAGATCATGATGTGGGTGTTTTGTTAGTGTATACATATATCAGTCTGTCAAAATTTGTGTGTCATGACCAGCTGATGAACCAGAATACTCACCTGCCTCTTAACACAGTGGTGGAAGATGATGGAGAGGTGTGACCAACTTGGTTTGTCAGTAGTTCCTGAAAACAAGCAGTAAGTGGATTTTGCAAGACAGATGTATGAGGATTTGCACATAGTTATTATGAAATGTTATTTAAAATTTAAAAATGTTGGAACAAGGTTTTGGGAAATAACAGCTAACCATTTCAGATAAACTTGCCTAGTACGTTTGGCAAGTGTCAAGGCCTGTAATATTGGAAGTTCAGAAGCAAGCTGTAAGAAGTCTAAGGGTACCTTACAGCTTCCAAAAATGGATTTAGCAAAAATCTATCCCATGTTATTTGTCTGTATTCAAGATTTAATGAAAAGAAAACAAAAAAACCAATTAAAAAACAACAACAAACAAAACCAAAGCAAACAAAGAAACCAAACCAACACATTTTTGCTTCAGTTTTTTAGTTTAATTTTCTCTAGGTGACCTCTCTCCCCTGATTTTTTATTTTT